GAAAAAGTTCCAGGTGGTGATAAATCTTTCTGTCCCAAATCCGGATGAAAAGTTAAAAAGTCATGGGGGTTTAAATGCTACAATGTTGGGCTGTTCTAATGTTACTTACAGCCAGTTTTTTTATGGTGCCTCCGGAAGGCACTGTTGGAATGTGCACATCAAGCTACCACCACTGACTGCGATTGTAACAACCATCATTCAGATCTAGTCAACCTTTTCTTAAAGACAGAAAAAATGGGAGAGGATGGGGGAGACAGTTAAAGCATTTGAGATATAAAATGTTACATGTAAAGGCTTTCATTGTACTAGAGATACGGTATAAATATTTAACAGGGAAGGGAATTAACCATTGGGACAACGCACCAAGGGTCGTAGTGGATTCTCCATCACTGGCCATTTTTAAATCAAGGTTCAATATTTTTCTAAAAGATAATCCTTAGAAATTTTTTCCAGGGAGTTCTCTGGCATGTGTTATAGAGGGGGATTCATACTGTCCCTTTTTGGCCTTGGACTCTATGAAACTCAGCGTTGCCAACTCTCGTGAGTCTCATGATAATTATTGTTTTCCTTAAAGTCCCAGCTCCTGGAGTCAGGTGGATATGTGATGATTTCAGCCTACATCCTTAAAGAAAAAGCAAGTTTCTAGCCCTAGTGGCTGTGGAGAAAGCTTCAAAACGTGACCCCAGTGCACCCTAAAGGCTCCAAAAGTGGAAGGCAAATAAAAAGAACCCCAAATCTGTTATATTTACATAATCCCATGATTTTAAAGCCAGTCTCGTGATTTTTGGTGAGCCTCACTTATGATTTTTGAACATTTGGGGTTGGCAGTCCTGGGAACAACCAATATCCCTTATTCCCTTTTCCTTTAGCAATATGGAGCCTTTTATACAGAGAGAGCCCTCTGCTTGGAAGTCGTTTTGGGGGGCGGGGGTGACAGCTGTTCTTCTTGGGGAAAAGAGTAACAGTAAGTGTAGATGGTCTGGAGCTACTGATGCTATCAGAGTCTGATTTAGGTTTCGGGGGGCGGGGTTGCATTGCTTTCAGCTTGTCTTAATGGCCACAGGCTTGCAGCAGTGTTGCAAAAGGTGGCGTAGATTTGGCCACCTCAGCCAGCAGGCAGAAAGCATGGAATAAAAAACAGAAGTGAGAAGGAGCGTCAGGAAAATAACCCTGGAGGGGAAGGTGACAGCAGGAGCTTGAGTCTCACATCCCTGGTGTTGTTCAGGAATTAGCTGAAGCTGGTGGAGATGGTGATGGCTCTCTGGCTCGGTCTGATCAGGAAGCTTGGTGGGTCCCGGAGGATCACGAGATGGTGGAGGTGGCCTCCTTGAAGGTGACGTTCACTCTTCCCAGTCCACCCATCCCACTCCTCTCATGTAGTGACTTCCCCCTCCCCCGAACTTGTAACTCAAAATGATCCAATTGTACCAGTCTTTACTGCCTTTCTAAACAATTTTACATAACCAGGTGAGCTGGACTTATGTTACCTTGAACAATTTAGAGAACAGGCCTCTGCTCAACCACTATCATCATCTGTATGGGGAAACTGAGGCACGGAGAGGTTAAATGACTTGTCCAAGGTCACACAAGGACTCTGGGGCAGAGCCAGGAACTAAACCCAGATTTTCTGAGTCCCACGCCAGTGATTTAACCACAAAATTATCCTTACTCCTCCCATCTGAGCCTCTGCCTGGAAGACCCTCTGCCTTATACCATTGTTTCTGAGTATTCAGGAAAGCCGGGGTGAGTTCGAATTTCCATGCAGCTATCTTCATTAAGCTGGAGTTAAGGTTGAAAGTGCATCTCAGTAACTTAAGGGTTAAAAACTATTGCTACAATTTTGTAGTTATTAAAAAAAACCCAAATATTAGAAACTCAGGAAATTAATTTATATTAAATGTAACAGAAACCAAGGCAAGCCATTCAGCCACTTTGAAGCTGGACAGTCTTGTTTCTGAAAGGTTTGTCCCTCTCTATTACTGATATAAAACCCCATGTCCTTTTTGTCCAATATAATCATGAAGCACTGGAATGGGTTACCTAGGGAGGCGGTGGAATTGCCTTCCTTAGAGATTTTTAAGTTCAGACA